GGGGGGTGGGAAACCCTGCGCTCCCGCAACTTGGGGGGGGGGGGGGAACGAGTTGTAATCTTCCCCCGGTTTCAACCGACCGGGGACGCCTGTTCCTAGTTTCTCCGTTGCTACCGCGGCAGTTTTCTTTTCTGCCTTGTATCTTTTTATACAGTTCATTACTTCCCTCCGTGGCTTACTGAGTTTGCCTTTTTATAATCATTAAGCACAGAGTCAAATAGTTCATCACCAAACTTTTGCCACTCACTCTTCTCAAATACTGTATTAGGATCTGCAAAAAACATCTCTTAGCCTTCCTTACAGGCAGTAGACCTGCTAGCTGCTTTAGAGTCTCAGGCTCAATTCCCCGCTTTTATAAAAAGCACTGTAAAAAGTTCAGGGCTCAATTCCCCGCTTTTATAAAAAGCACTGTAATAAGTCCAGGGCTCAATTCCCTGCTTTTATAAAAAGCACTGTAAAAAGTTCAGGGCTACCTCTCGGTCCATTTTCATGGCCAGCCTTTTCCGGATCGTCTTCTTCTGGGTCGTCCTGTAACCTCGGTCTCCGGATCGGCCTCCCGACGCAGCAGTGTCTGGTATACCCCAGCGGCGGACTTTTTCGGCTAGTCGCAGCACCCGGGTCCGTCACACCACCGCAGCAGCATTGCCCGCGCTGCCCGGCCGCTGCCGCCAGCGCCGCTCTCTCGCCGTTCCGGGTCCCCGTCGACCGGGGCCCTGTATCCTGGGTCCCCGTTAAACCGGGTCCCTGTATCCGGGTCCCCGTTAACGGGTCCCTGGGTCCCCGTTAAACCGGGTCCCTGTATCCCGGGTCCCCGTTAAACCGGGTCCCTGTATCCCGGGTCCCCGTTAAACCGGGTCCCTGTATCCTGGGTCCCCGTTAAACCGGGTCCCTGTATCCTGGGTCCCCGTTAAACCGGGTCCCTGTATCCTGGGTCCCCGATAACCGGGTCCCTGTATCCCGGGTCCCCGTCGGCCGGGTCCCTTTATCCGGGTCCCCGTCGACCGGGGCCCTGTATCCCGGGTCCCCGCTAGTCGGGGCCCTAGTCGGGGCCCTCCCGGGTCCCCGTCGGCCGGGTCCCCGGCCCTTTATCCGGGTCCCCAGCGACCAGGGGGGCCCTGTATCCCGGGTCCCCGCTAGTCGGGGCCCTATATCCTGGGTCCCCGCTAGTCGGAGCCCTATAATCCGGGTCCCCAGCGACCAGGGCCCTGTAATCCGCGTCCCTGTTCGGGCGCCATTTGTAAGCGGCGAGGAGAAGCAGGCAGGCCAACCCAATATGGGTGATAAGCAACTTCTTCTTTATTTGTGACGCAGTTCACACATATATAGGAGTGGTATTCAGCCACTCCTTCGTGGCATAACAGTATTGGTTAGCCCCCACAGCTTCCTCCACATTCTCCTCCCAGGTCCGGTCTCTGTCCACCTGTGGGGGCCACCCCCTGCCTTGCTTGCACAGTCCTCCAGAACTCTATGGTTCTGCTCTTAAAGTCATTCTGCAACAGGTAGGAATAAAACTGCTGCCCCCCCCCCGCCCCAACCAGTGGTTTGTTCTGTAAGGGAGGGGTATGAAAGGGGGGTCGCGACCATTTTGAGGGGCTTGGGGGGGAGGTCTATGGAATTTTGGGTGTTGGGGTCCCCCCCATTTTGGGGAGCTGAGATCCCATTTTGGGGGAGGTGTCCCTCATTTTGGGTAGTGGGGGGGATGCCCCCCTGCGTTTCATGCCCTATGAGCCTGCCCACAGGAGGGGCGTGGCCAAGACGGATGGGGCAAGCTATGATTGGCTGGGCCGCTTGTGGGGCGTGGCTTTATCCAGTGGGCGTTACCAAGAGGCAGAGCAGGGGGGACCACACCGGGGTACCCGGGTGCACTCAATGGAAGCGAGGGGGGATTGCGATGCTGATGTGTGACTGTTAGCGTTATAATGGACCAAATTCCTTTGGGAACACCGTTTCCTTCCACAGCGCCACCCCCTCTGCTCATCCATGGAAGCAGGGAAGCCCAGAAGGAATCACTTCATCTTCATTGCGGGGTAACCGGGAATCACGTTTGGAGCGCGTGCTGCCTGGATGCCATCGGAGATGGAGAGCAGGGAATGGGACGGCGGAGGCGATGCCCTTCGGTCTCCAGAGCTCCTCGGTCCGGGTCTGTCTCTGCCATCTTTTTCCCTAAGGAAAACTGCAGCATTCCCAGCAGCAGAGCGCCCGCAGGCGGGATCCCAGGCTCCGCTGCGCTGGTGGGGTCCTGAGGATGAGCAGGGTCTGAGCCGTCAGGGAACGGAGGCCGGGATCGCCCTCATCCAGCAGCGCTTCCAGAGCTGTGATCCAAAGAGAGCGGGATGAGCCCCTCTGTAGCCAACAGCATCCCCCCAGCTGCAGCTCCCTCCTCACCTCTGCAGATCTGCTGCAGCTTCCATGGGCTTTTCCCTCTGAGGGGCCGTGCGGCCAATCCTAGGCACAGGGATCGATTGGGATCCATCAGCATCCATCAGGGATCCATCGGGATCCATCAGGGATGCAGTGGTGGGACCAGGATGGGGACCCCAGGGGCTCACCAATGAACCTGACGGCTGCCTCTTGCAGGGGGACCTGAGCATCCTGCAGGTACCGCAGGCTCTGGTGCAGGTATCTTTGAGCCCTCTTCCTGCTCCGCTCCAGCTGCAGAGGGAATGGGATGCTACAGAACGTCCCCATTGGCTGGAGCAGTCCCAACGCTCCCTTTCCCATCCGGTTGTGGGATGGGCAGAGCGGTCCAAGGGGTTCCAATGGGAACAGGAATGGATGCAGGTTCCATACCAAGCACTCTGCAACCCTCCACATCTGCCTCGTCTCCAATAGGCGCCGGAGCTCTTCCCATTCCAGGAGCGTGGCCGCAGCAAGGAGAGCTCCCCGGGAAGCCTGCACAGGATGGGATGGCAGACGGCACCTTGGGGATGATCCCACCCTCAGGAATGTGGGATACAGGGGGATGGGGCGGGTCAGTACCTCAGCCACGCTGCGGCTTTGGTCGCTCATGTGGAAGAAGAGCGGGAGCAGCAGATCCCAGGTTTTGCTCCTCATCCTCCTCCTGTCACGACCAAACACCGACTCCAGCAGGAGCCAGATCAGGCGGATGGAGAGCTCCCGGAGCCGGCTGCATCCCTGGAGGCAAGGAGGAAAAGGGGGCACTTAGGCAGATCCAGATGGGATGGGAAGCCCTGGAGCCATCCCCATGTGAGCTCCAAATCACCGCAGGGGTCCCACGCAGCCCTTACTCCATCAAAGAGGGGCTGGATGTCCTGCACCAGCCCCACGGCAATGGGGCTGGCCTCCTCCCTTGGTAGGTGACCCATCACATTTGATAGGATCATCAGGGCCTTTATCCTGAGCTCATCATCGACATCCGGAAGCTCACCCATGATGTGGGGCAGGAGCCGCTGCAGTTTCCTTGCCTGCAGGAAGAGGTGGGGGCTGCTTGTAAGGAAGCTGTGACCCAAGGCTGTGGTCACCAAGGTCATGGCCAAGAGGGGTCCCTATGGCCATGCCCTGACCCATGGCCAAGAGGTCTCCCCATGAGCCATGGCCAAGAGGGCTCCCCATGACCTATTGAGTACAGCGCTCCCCATGACTATGCCCTGCCCCATGGCCATGCCCCGCTCACCAAGTCAGGTTTCTCCGACAGCTCCAAGAGGCTTTCCAGCAGCACGGACGCTGTCATCAGGCTCTGGGGGTCCTCAGCGCCCTCAGCACCACCAGCACCAGAGGCCATGGGCTAAAGGCAAACACAGGCATTGAGACCCCACCGAGCCTGCAGGGCTCATGGGAGGCCATCAGGGCCCTTTGGGTACTCACAACGAAGTTGGGGATGGAGGTGTCCCGGGTGTCCTGGAGCATCCCCAGCAGCTCCCGTAGGGCCTCTGAAGTCCTGGATATGTTCAGAACCATCTTCCACATGTCCACATCAGCGCTGGAAGGCAGGGCGCTGAGTCAGCGTGGTCCACACATCCCATGGGATGCCCTATGGGGGTTAGCGGTGGTGCTCCCCATGGAGTGGGATGCAGGGACCCGCTCCTCAGAGATATCATAGCATCATAGAAAGGGCCTTAAGATCATCCATTGCCGTGGGTCCTTGGGTCTGGTGGCCATAGGGACCAAGCCCTCAAGGCTGGTACCTGTCTCTCAAGGGCACGTTGAGGACCATGTTGACCGCCAGTGCCCTCGGGTAGTTGATGGCCATCATGATGAGGAGCCTGTCCATCCTTCTCCACGTGTCTTCCCTGCTGCTATTCCGCAGGCATTCATGGATGCTCCTCACGACGCTCGGCATCTGGAAGGGGGAGCATGGGTGAGGATGGTGCTGGGACCGCGTTCCCCATCCATCTCTGCTGCTTTGGGTACCCAAGACACCTCCTAGGTTTGAGATGGAGGAGTAGGGACTGAAGGGGATGGGAACGTAGCCATGGGGCACCCACCTTGGCCAGCCAGAAGTCGAGGTCGCTCAGGACCAGCTCCAGGATGTCCTCTGCCACCCTCCTGTCGAAGATGCTCGAGTCCTTCATGGCCTTGATGACCATGCAGACCATGTCCGTCCTCTCCCATGGATAAAGGAACCCTGCAAACCTCTACGGGAGGAAGACTGGGAACATGGAAGCTGCATTGTCCCTGCTTGGGGAAGCATCCCACCATAGGGTCCAGCACTGGGGGGAGCTCCATTACCATGGTGAGGTCTTGAGGGCTGATTTTTTCACCCCGTTTGAGCTCTTCCACTTCATGCTCTGGCTGTGGCCTTTCTGAAGAGCAAGGGGGACACAGGGGAGTCAATGGGACACAGGAGAGCCAATGGGAATGGAGAGTCAATGGGACACAGGGGAGTCAGTGGGATTCAGGAGAGTCAATGGGATTCAGGAGAGTGAATGGGACAAACGCGAGACAATGAAACACAGGGGAGTCAATGAGATACAGGGGAGTCAATGGGATACAGGAGAGTCAATGGGATACAGGAGAATCAAAGGGATACAGGAGCATCAATGGGATATGGGAAAGTCAATGTGACACAGGAGAGCCAATGGGATACAGGAGAGTCAATGGGACACAGGAGAGCCAATGGGATACGGGAGAATCGTTGGGGGGGGGGGGGGGGCATCACGGCCTCAGGTACCTTTCTGCTGCAGGAGGTACTGATGGAGGCCGCAAAGAGCATCCAGGGCTGGGGAGCTTGTCCTGTCCTTGGCATAGCGGAAGAGGAGGAGGTGGCCCAGGAGCTGGCCCAGGAGAGGGACTGGGAGCTCCTCCGGGGGGGCAAGGCAGGAGCTCCTGTAGGTCAGGCGCAGGTTCTGGGGAGTGAGAAAGAACAGAAACAAAAGGTGAAGAACCCAAAGAATGAGGAGGAAAGAAAAGAGAAAGAGGAGAAAGGGAAGGGGAAAGAGGAAGAGGAGGAGAAGAAGGAGAAAGAGAAGGAGAAGGAGGAGAAGAAGGAGAAGGAGGAGGAGGAGGAGAAGAACCTGAAGAAAAACAGAAGAAGGAAGAAGAATGAAGAAAGAAGAAATAGAAGAGAAGGAGAAAGAAGGACCAGAAGAACCTGAAGAATGAAGGAAGAAGAAGAAAGGAAAAGGGGAAGGACAAGGAGAAGAAGGAATGAGCAAGACAAAGAGCAGGAGGAGGAGCAGGAAAAGGAATGGGAGTGGGAGTGGGAGCAAGAGCAGGAACAGATCGAAGGAGCAGAGGCAAGAGAAGGAGCAGGAGGAGGAGCAGAAGAAGGAGCAGGAGGAGGAGCAGGAGCAGAACCAGATCAGGAGCAGGGGCAAGAGCAGAAACAGGAGCAGGAGCAGAAGCAGGAGCAGGAGGAGGAACAGGAGCAGGGGCAGGAGCAGGAGCAGGAGCAGGAGCAGAAGCAGGGGCAGAATTAGAAACAGGAGGAAGAGCAAGAGAAGGAGGAGCAGAAGGAGCAGAAGCAGGAGGAGGAGCAGGAGCAGGGGCAGGAGGAGGAGCAGGGGAAGGAGGAGGAGCAGGAGAAGGGGAAGGAGCAGGAGCAGATGCAGGGGAAGGAGAAGGAGCAGGAGGATGAGCAGCAGCAGGAGCAACAGCAGGAACAGGAGCAGAAGAAGGAACAGGATAAGAAGCAGAAGGAGGAAAAGAGCAGGGGCAGAAGCAGAAGCAGGAGGAGAAGGAGCAGGAGCAGAAGCAGGAGCAGAGCAGGAGAAGAAAAAGGGGCAGGGGGAGGAGAAGGAGGAGCAGCAGCAGGAGCAGAGCAGGGGCAGGAGCAGAGGCAGGAGAAGGGGCAGGAGCAGGGGCAGGAGCAGAGGCAGGAGCAGGGGCAGGAGCAGGGGCAGGAGCAGGAGCAGGGGCAGGAGCAGAGGCAGGAGAAGGGGCAGGAGCAGGCAGACTCAGGATGCTCTGCAGGTCCCCGTCTCCCCGTGCAGGGGTCGCTGCCGCCCGCCCCGGTCCTGCCGGGTCCTTACCCTCAGTGTGCGGTGGTGCCGCAGCAGCTGGGTCAGGGCCGCGATCCTGCCCAGGGCCCTCTCCCTCACGACGGGGTTGGGGGAGCCGCTGAAGCGCAGCAGGAGCTGGGCAGGGGGAGAAGGCGCGGGTGAGCCCCGGAGCTGCGGCAGGGGCTGGATCCCCCCCGCTTCCATTGCAGCTCCCGCTGAGCATCACCGCGGGGCGGGCAGGGATGGAGGCAGCGGCACGGGAAGGGATGCAGGGGGTGAGGGCTTGGTCCCCTCGCTGTGGGGGATGCCCCGGCCGCAAGGACCAAGGCACGGCCCCGCTTCCAGGGCTGGGCTGGAGCTGGCGATGAAAATCAGTGCCTCAGCGCTGCCCCTGCCCTGGGGCTGCAGGGGCTTTGGGTCCTTTCCAACCCAAACCGCTCTGTGCTCCTAGGACTGCAGTGTACGTGTAAATACATGTGAATAGGAATAGAGCAATGGATCTAAATATGAATAGGAATAGAGCGAAAGAGCTAAATGGATATAAGGTAGGTCTAAATTTCATAGAAATCTAATTATAAATATATAGAGATAAATATATAAATATGGAATATAAATATAGATATTAATATAAATATAAGTACAAATATTAATACATATTAATATATCTAAATATATAAGTAGATACAAATATGTATACGTGTATATATATATATACACATATATCTATAACACATATACATATGTATACAAATATACACACATATACATATACATATACATATATACACATATATCTATAACAGAGAAGTTCCTCCTCTAAAGACCTCTTCATGCAACAGTTCAGGGCAAGGGAACCAGTCCATGGGCCCCAGCAGCCTGGTCCCAGCCCATGATGCCAGGAGGCAGCAAAGGCCCCATCCCAGCGGGGCTCAGCCTCCTGATGTTGGGTCCCTGCCCTGTGCTCTGTGGGCAGTGGCTGCCACCCCCTGCGGCCCCCGTGCTCCAGGAGGGCCTTGGGTTACCCAGGGGAAGGGGGGGGCCATGGCTCTGGGGGGGCCCCATGGGTGAGGAGCAGCCCCCATGCACCCCGCTCCACGCAGGCCAGACCTGCAGGATGCTCTGCAGCTCCTCGCCGCCCCTAGGGTCAGGAGAGTTGAGCACCAGCCTCCGGAGCATGTTATCCATGGACTCCAGTGCCTGCAGGGACAGAGCAGAGCCCTTTGGGTACCAACAGGGCTTCAACCGTGGGCATCCCATAGCCCCAGCGCTCCAAAGGGAGCTGCGGGCTCCTGGAGCGCCTTACGTGGACGTAGTAGTAGGTATCCAGGTCTGAAAGCTCCTCTTTCGGAGGCAGGAAGAAGATGTTTGTGCAGCAGGTCTCTAAGAGGCCTCTCCCTTGGTCCGCAAGCCCTGACTGCACTGAGCTGCACAGGGAAGAAGGCTCCAGTTGGATGCTGGTGATGGGAGCAGTGGGGTCCCCAGGAGGGATGCGCAGTTGTGGTACCTCAGTTCCGCTATCGCATCCATGGCAAAATTCCACACCTCCGTGCGCAGCTGGTCCGTGGGCTGCTCTTGGAGCAGTGTCTATAGAGCACAATGGGGATAAGGGACCTGGGAGTCCACCAATGCTGCCCTCATTGGGTGCTGGAGCCCTTTGCCCCATAGCATCCCCATGGGGGTCCCTTCACCTGGATGGTCTCTGTGAGTTGGTTCTTATGGCAGAAGACATCCAGGCCCTGTTGCAAGCTGCAGATCCTGGCGGTGCTCAGCAGTGAGCAAACACTCTCAAGGAATGCAACCTTTTCATGCTCAGACTGGAAACCAGGGAGGATGGAGGCACAAACAGGGAGTATGAGAAGGCACGGGGGTACCAGAGTGCTAGGGTTGAAGGCAGCACCCAACAGCACCCATCAGCATCGCAATGGCTGTGCTCACCGTGGTTGGGGTGTTGACAAATGCCTCGATGCGCTCCACTTTGTCCTGCTCCAGTGTGTACACGGGTAACCAGCTGGCATCTAATGGAGGAAGAGGAGAGGTTTGGAGAGCAGAGGAAGCTCTGCTCCCCCGCCAGCATCCAAGGAAAGTGGTGCTGGTCATAAAGTCATGGAATCATAGAATGGGTTGGGTTGGAAAGGACCCGCAGATCACCCACTGGGTTTTCCAACCCAACACCTTCTATGGCTCTATGATCAGATGTCACCAAGGCTGTGTCCAACCTGGCCGTGGATGGAGCATCCACGCTGTGCCAGCACCTCACCCCCTCCATAGGGAACAACTTCCTTTTATCCAAGTGGAACTTCCCTCTTCCAATCTGAACCCATCACCCCTTGTCCTGCTCCCAGACCAATGCTCACCAGTCCTCAGTGGCATGACCAGGGATTCCTCATAGGACTCCAATGAAGAGATGCTCTCCTCCGGAGCCTCATACCTCTCCCAAGCCTGCCGGGGGGATCTGGGTGCTCTCTCCATTATCCCACGGGATGCAGGAAAGGGATGGGGGTAGCAGAGGGGAAAGCTTGGACCAAACGCAACAGAGCTTGAGCTCAGAAGCAACCCACTGGCTCCTTCCTCCTGCTCTTTCCTGTCACTGTCTGCTCCCCTGACCAAAGCACTCAAGTAGGGTGACACAAATGAGGTCACAAAGGGCCCCGTGTTGACCCATTGCCATGGTGACCCACCTGGGTTCTAGACTGAAGCTGAGAGAGAACCTGCTGCAGGTCCATGAGCTGGGGCTGTCACCCAAAGCAGCATCCCTGCACCCCAACATGCTGTGTGTGGGGACCCTTCCTTATGGGGCTCAATAAAGATGGGGTTTGGGGTACCCTGTAGTTTTGGGGTGGCTTAGGGCTACTGGGATTTATGGAGATGGCTGGGGCAGGGTGGGTTTCTGAGTACCAGAAGGGTTACAGGATGCTTTAAGGGTACCAGGGCTACTGGGGGGCAGTGGGAATGTTGGGAATGATGGAGAAGCCTGGGACTGAGGTGAACCAGGACCTCAATGTGAAGACACAGAAGCTGTGGGGCCGGGGGGTGGGTGGGTGGTGGCAGAGCTGTAGGGTGGACATCAGGCCCCATGGGTCTGTGGTGGCCATGGAGGGTGCTGCATCAGGAGAGCTGCTGCAGGTGATGGAAGCCCCTTGAAGGAAGCTGCTGAGAGCCAGACTGAGAACACTGGGGCTGGAGAAGAGACCTCCGAGCAGCTTCCAGTGCCTGAAGGGGGTCACAAGGATGCTGGAGAGGGACTGCACTTCATTGCCTTGAAGAACCAGCTCCATCTTGCTCTCAACACAGAGCTCCCAATCTACAGCTTGCAATTAAGCGTGGGTTTGATTTACAGCTTGTAATTCCCCCACCGGAGCCTCACAGCATGCACGCAGATCCCATAAGCCCCATCTCCTATCAGTTTCCCATCTGTAATGCTGAAACCCCCTTGTGAAGAGCAGTACTGAGGCATTGAAACCCCTGTAGGGTCCAAACACAAATCAATCTATTACGAACAGATTCTTTCATCATGTCCAATTTAATAGTCAAGAGTCCCAGTCCAGTTCCTCACAGCAATCAGTCAAAGCATGGACAGTCCAGGCTCATTGCAGTTCAGTCACTCACAAGGGGGATGGGATGGAATAAAATAGGAAGGGATGGGGTGGGATTGGGATGGGAAGGGGAGGGACAGAATGGGATTTAGAAGAGGAGAGGAGAGGAGAGGAGAGGAGAGGAGAGGAGAGGAGAGGAGAGGAGAGGAGAGGAGAGGAGAGGAGAGGAGAGGAGAGGAGAGGAGAGGAGAGGAGAGGAGAGGAGAGGAGAGAGGAGGATGAAATGAAATGAAATGACAAATGGGAGCTGCTGGAGAGAGTCCAGCGCAGGGCAACTAAGATATTAAGGGAGTGGAGCATCTCCCTTATGAGGAAAGACTGAGGGAGCTGGGTCTCTATAGTTTGGAGAGGAGGAGATGAAATGAAAATATATAAAGAATGTCAAGGATGGAGCCAGGCTCTATCAGAAACAATGATAGGACAAGGGGTAATGGGTGCAAACTGGAACACAAGAGTTTCCACTTAAACTTGAGAAGAAACTTCTTCTCAGTGAGGGTGACGGAACACTGGAACAGGCTGCCCAGGGAGGTTGTGGAGTCTCCTTCCCTGGAGACGTTCAAAGCCCTCCTGGACACATTCCTGTGTAACATTATCTAGGTGTTCCTGCTCCGGCAGGGGCATTGGACTAGATGATCTTTTGAGGTCCCTTCCAATCTCTAGCATACTGTGATACTGTGATACTGTGACAAATGGAAATGAAATTATATCATATGATATAATAAGATATGAAATGATACATTTTCAGAGAGCGGAAGAGAAGAGAGGAGATGAATGAGATGAAATGGGATGATACAGGATGAGACGAGTTTAGAGGAGGTGAGACGAGATGAAATGAGAAGGAGGATGAAATGACGCGAACTGATATGATGCTATAACATAACATGGTTTGATATAGCATGAGAATACATGATGTGGATGGAAACAGAATGGAAATGATATGAAATTAAAGTAAATTATAACGTAAAATGATACGACATGAAAGGGAAATGAAATGAAATAAAA